AGGAAAAAATATGATGTATTCATGAGGATTTCAGAAAGAAGGTGAAAATATTTTATGAAATGTGCAAAAATAAGAATAAAATTGTTTTTCCGAATGAATGGAGTACAATATTTATAGTTAGAGTACCTCCAATGTAAATGAGCCATAAAAGTTACTCCCTAATACAATCCAAACGAAGAGCCCTATACAAATTGAAAAGTTTTGAGGGTGGGTGTTCTACAATTGACAAATACAAAGATTGTCAAAAGGGTAAGAATTGAGTTCGATTTCTTGCAATCACGTCGAGAGACTTCACCTATATCAAGTGTATGATCTCTGTAAGTAACAGATGTGAACTTCATCTTTTACCATTAACTTGCGTCCAAAATCAAATTTATCTCTTCCTAATAACTATTTCTTATAAACTACTCCCTCCGTCCCAAAAAGAATGTGACAGTTTGACCTTTTGGGAAATTAAGGGAGGGATATTTTGGTATTGACTTTACAAAAATACTCTTGATTTGATGGGTAAAAGTAGGATGTGATGACTAGATTATTAGAAAAAAGGTATGATGTGATAGGTAGGATATGAAAAAGTAAGGGATAAAAGTGATTTTTTAATAGAAATATAACGAACTTTACGTGACGCAATTTTTTCTAAACGTAACAAACTTTTTGGGACGGAGGAAGTATTTGAGAGAATGTCCTTTCAACTATGAGACTTGTATTTTTTGGGGGAAATATATATGGAGGGAGTACTAGAAGACTAGGTAGTAAGGGTAGAACCGTACCAGCAAATAATTAGTGCAGTGCGACTTTGATGATGGGATGACGTTAACAGGGGACTGTAGCACTATAAATGGTTTCTTTGAAAATTGTATGAAATCAAACGATGAATGAATTTAATAACATGCTTTTAATCACCGCAAAAAAATAATAAATAGAAATGCTACTGTACTATATATACAGTATAAGAAGGGAAGCATAATTAAATAAAGTCGTAGTTGCATAAATTCATATACTGTGAATTATTGATGAGATATATGAGAGTGCATTTGGATGTACTCATCACTAACTACTACTAATGCTTGTTAATTAATTACATACGTAACATATTTAATTGCCATACACTAGTCTTCTTTACAATAAACAATGCTCTGTAAAATAAAGGCGATGAGCATTGTGCAGTTGGCAAGGCAAGTAGTGCTTAAGAGATAAGAACCGAGATCGATTTTCTAACAACTGCACTGAGAGGTAGTATGCTAAGCATATGGCCTCTACAAGTACCTGATGCACTTTTTGCCACCAATCTGCGATCAAAGTCCAGATTTGATAACAATTAGAGAGTAAGAATTTGTCCTTGGTTCGTACAATAATCTCGTATTTTACATAGTTTTCCTTTTTCGTCCTTGTCAAGGTTCGATCATGGGTCTTATCCCTAGTTTGCACGTACTCCCCACTTGTCACCTAGACTTTGCCCAACAAGAATAGTCATGTTTGTTTATTGTGAGCCTTTTTGGGAATAGCGTTAGCGATTTGAAAAGGCTATGTATGAGCAGCGTTTAGCGTTAGCGTTTTCAAAGTAATCTACGCCGTTAAAATTTTATCCAAAACGCTAACGCTATTCCCAAACACGCCTTGTATCTATTAGAGCAACAATAATCATCCTCTAAGAGCATCAATAATAATTTTCCCCTCATATCAACTATTTTCAATAGCACTTCACTTTCTTTTTCATCGTGATCAATACTTCTCTATTCATCATATCCTTCTATATCTTTAATTATTTTTACCACTTGTCATCTCTTCATTTGTACAAAAAACAAATAAAAAATAAAATAATAATTGGCTACCAAAATTTTTCTTTCTCCAGGAAAATGTTATTTCCCCCGACCTCATCTCTCTCCTTTCTAACAATTCTTCTCTTTTTTCCCATCCACACCATCGAGCTTATTCCCCACTTCATTCCTCTCTATTAGTGATGCCATAATAAGTAAATCTTTGTCAATTACACAAGGTGTATACAATAGATAAACACAGAGGCAGATCTACTAAGAAAGAATTGGGGGCCAATGCCCCCTTACTAATATTAGGTGTTAAACTTTTTTTTTGAAAAAAAAAAATCTATACTTTGAGCTACATGCCACCATCTAAATTGGGGTTGACCCCATATACAATTATGTAATCCCAAAAAAAATTAATGAAATCTTATCTAGTTAAGCTAGTTTTTAGTTTTTTGTTAAATTTTATTGCACATAATTTATTATTTGTAATAAAATTTATAAAACCTACTCCCTCCGTCCCGTTTTAAATCGTCTGTTTTGACTTTTGGACATGTTTAAGGAAAAGAAAAAATAGAATTGATTTTTCAAAATTGTCATTACTTTATAGAAGGCATGACTATGAATTAGAAGATAAGGTGAAGAAAAGTGACTTATTTTAGGGGTAGTTTAGGTATTTTATTTTTAAAAGTTTACGATAACAACTAACAGACAACTTATTTTGGGACGGAGAAAAAATGCAAACAGACAATTTAAATTGGGACAAAGGGAGTATTAAACAATATTTTACATTCAATAAATGTTTAAAATAAATTCAATATATTTTTGTCAATTCATACTCTCTCTTTAAAAAAATCTAGTGACGCTGCCCGGATCCCTACCAATTATGCCCCTTTTACCCGAATTCTTAAATCTGCCACTGGATAAATTCATAAACATAACAATTTGCCTAGGGTCCACCATACTAAGGGCTCGTTTAATTGAGCGTAGTAGTGCTGACATGAAATGAATTCAGAAATATGAACAAAAACTATTTAGAAAAATCTAAAATCTCGTAAAATTATATATTAGTGATAGTGACCAGTAGACAATAACCAGTGGTACTACATCATGAAATTAATATATGGTATTACATTAGAAAAGTTACTAAATTTTAGTATTATTTAGATAAATTCCACATAGTGATATAGGTAGTATTTGGCAACGAGAACCAATTGGCAGCGTCAAGTGGCCGATGCAGTGGTGAATATGCAATAATCCGGTGACCGGCAGTTGAAAGAGATATCGAAATTCACATATTGATAAGTTTTTTGAGGCACTCATATTGATAAATTTGATACATGTCTCCAACATCGATTGACATCAAATTGAAGTACTCTTACCAAGGATTGTGATATTCACAGATATCAAATCTAGAATTATATTTTGGCCGGATTCACCAAGAGATGCTCCATGCGCCCCACAAAATATACCCTCTAAAAAAACTAGTTTTAAAGTGCATAATTTTGATGTTATATTCTAATTTTGTTCTTACTTTATACTAGAGTTTAATAGGATGGGTAAATAAAAAACTAGAACATGACATCATTATACAAAAACTAATGATTCAATTCTTTTGTTGCAACACACAGTAGCAAACACGTTGCATCACATGTTTAAAAAACAAGTCAATCTAACCATTATTATAAAAACAAAGGCGTGTATAATTGGACTAGCAATTGGTGAAGATGGGGAGAAAATGACAATTAGTTGCCTTTTCAATGCTCAACACTTCTCTCTTTTTTTATTGGGTTAAATTTGACTTTGTTCCCTCTCTTCTTTACCTCAGTCTCAATTTCATGCTCACGGATTGCTTTCAACACTAATTTTCATTTTTAATTAACCTCCCCTCTTAAATTACTCGTAATAAAGTTTATAAAAAAATAAATATAAAAGATAGAAGTATAGAACCATATCTAGGGTCGTGAGACCCGACCACGAATAGTTATCTGAGAAGAGGTATCCTTGGATTTAACATGGAAAGTTATTTGAGAAAAGATAAATGAAACTATAAATCATCATTCAGGCCATGTTCTTCTCAATTTATTTTTTTTATTTATTACTTATTCTTATTGGAATCAAATCAGAAATAATTTTGAATTCAAGTACATTCAGATTGGATCAAATCAGAACTTATTCCAATCAAATGAGAACCAATCAGATATTCAGATCAAGTGAAGAGAATATGACCTTAATCTCTAGTAAGTAATAGAAAATGCAAATTGTCCCTTCTAGTTCGAGCAAATAAATATACGAAGAATACACACACACACACACATTTATATATATAATTGTTGATAGGTTTTTCGTGGTCTTAAGATTATTGCTCGTGTTATGAACCTATCTTAGTGTATTGATATCATAAAAGAATTATGCCTTTGGTAAAAAAAGAAAATATTAACTTACCAGCTTATGAAAAATGTAAGAAAATCTACACTTTTCATGTCCATCTTATGACCACGAAAGAACAATTCACGATTAAGATAGCTAATAGCAAATATACTATTGTTATAAAGTAGTTTATCCGTCTCTAAACATTTTTTTCCTATTTTTCTTTTTTCTAAATTGTCTTTCTCAATTATTCTAAAATACGGAGTATCAAATTTACACTTATTACTCATCACATCATATCTATTCAGTGCTAATGAATTGGGTTGACAATATGACATTGCCATTTCTAATGAGTGTAATCATCATCTCTTATCCCTCTTCTCTATCTCTCTTCCTCCCTCACAAAAATGGTGGGTACCATAGTTTATAGAGCCATGCTAGGGGTACACCAAATGTGTACCCCATTTGTCCCCCACCCCTTCTCTACCATTCATTTTTATCTACTTTTTATTTATTTAATTTTTTTTAAAATTTTTGCCCATTTTTGTGGTAATGGAGGGGGTGGGGGACAGATGGGGTACACCTTGTTTATACTCACCAATATTCCTTCGTTAGGATCTCACCTATGTTCCTTTCTCATCAAAGCTATTTACCCACTCATTGAATAGTCTTTGTTTCCCTCCAAAAAAAAGAAAGTCAAAGGGGTAAATTTTTTGGATTGAGAGAAAAAGTAAAGATAACTTAAATACGACTAAAATATAATGACTTTATCAATATAAGAGCATATGTTTTTATTTTCCAATGTAAGATCATTGATCATTATTTATTAGTCATTATTCAAGTAAATGTCCAGCATCACTTGGACATTACTCTTTTGACTAGTCTTTATTAAGTCATATTTAAGGAATAAAAAAGTTTAAATCCTACATTGAAAAATAACTTATGTTTTAATCCTATTGAGTGCAAATTTCACAAAGCTAATACTCATGCTCTGTATATTGCTACTTTTTTTTGGATAAACATGTATTGGTACTAATTAATTACTTTGAAGTAAATAAATTGGAAAGCTTAAAATTAAAAAAAATTTACATGAAAGTATTAACATCAAAAACGTCAGAAACATCGAAGTTCAACAGATCGCTGCAGTAGCTAATCTCCCTCTCGTCCTCCGCCGTGGTTATGGTGCTGCTGCTGTTGACCTGACTCGAACACGGCGTTGACCAAACTTGCCGGAACCCGGCGAAATCCTGACTCCCATCCAACGGCGCAGGATCCATCACCATCAACGGCTGAGCTCCGTCCAGCGGCTCGTAGCACCCGCCGAGGTTCTGCAGCAGAGAGTAGTACTCGTCGGCCGTGCAGTCCGGCAACCCGAAGTCTCCGGTACTGGGCTCCGGCAGAATCTGGGCCTCGCCGTTGATGTAATAATCTTGGGCCGGGATTTGCTCTTGCACGCCGGAACTCTGGAAACAGAGGTTGTCCGGTTGGATGGGCCCGGCGGCGGCGGGGTCGGCCCACTGTTGCTGGGACATGATTCGTAGGAGGTCCAATCCGCCGGAGGGCTCGTAGTAGGAGGACGGGAAGGACGCCGGCGGCGCCTGGAAGAGCGTGGAAAGATCTAGAAGATCGAGGCGCGGCGCGTGGGTCACCGGGTCGATCCCCATTCTCAGAAGCCTCTTCCTTATGTGCGTGTTCCAGTAGTTCTTGATCTCGTTGTCGGTCCTCCCCGGCAACCTCGCCGCAATCGCCGACCACCTTAAAACAAAACAAAAAAAAACAGAGCCCGGAATCAGATTCAGATTCACTTCATAAAAAACAGAGCAATCTTCAAGTATTCGCGGGATCATTCGTTAGAACTCACTTGTTTCCTAAGATACTGTGGAGGTGGATAATTGTCTGCTCCTCCTCGAATGAGAATTTGCCTCTTTTGATGTCGGGACGAAGGTAATTCGTCCACCTTAGCCTGCAACTCTTTCCACACCTCTGCAATCCTGAAACAAATTCAACCAAAAATTCAAACTTATAATCGAGACACCGTTCAGAAGATTTATACTACGACAAACACGCTCAAAAATTCAAGATTTTGCATGAATTTTCGGAGCGTATCTGTGATCAAAATACAATCTTGGAGTGTTATTGAACAAAAGTTTGGATTTTTAAAACTGGGTGACAGGTTTGAAATCATTATCTCTTAAGTCAAGAAGACTCTGATCTGATTTTCTACTCTAGAAATTAAAATTAAAAGAATGGGTTTTTCTTGTTGTTGTAATTACCAGCATTGGCGGGAAGAGTGCGCCAGTTGCCATAGCCATGTTTGGAGATGTAATCAATGAGCTTCTGGTCTTCTTCAGAAGTCCAAGGACCTCTCTTGAGGCCATCTTTATCGCAGCAGGGTGTTCTTGCCATTGTTGTTGACTATATATATCTCTTCTGGGCTTCAATTTCTGGGTTTTGCAAGCTGTAATTAATGATGACAAACTTTTCCACTTTGAGTTTCTTGCTGGGGGGAGAGAGAGAGAGAGGAGATGATTGAAATGGTGGGGGGGGGGGCAGGGGAGGGTATATATAGAGAGAGAAAGAAGAGAGAGAGAGAGAGAGAGAAGAGTGGGAAGGGACTTTGAGAAATGGAAGTCAAAGGTGATCGGTGCCGTCCTTTTGTGTGTGTATGGTGACGCGTCCCCTTTTGTGGAGGCTTTGATTGAAATGTGTGTGTACTCCCCTTTTATTATTATTTTTTTAAATTTATTTCAACATTTAAATATGGTAAATAATGAACACAACCTTTTCTGCTAGAACAAAGGGTCAACACAAATAAGTGTAGACATAATATAATACACTTCACTTTTTTTTAATAAATATTTATGAGTATTTGTTTGTTTGAGATAAAAAAAGGGATGAAGTCTTTTTATCTAACATCTCAAGAACTAGGAGACTCTTGCTCAAGAGAGGTGATTTTGTTAAGGAACTAATATAATTAAAGTTTATGTTTGTGATTATTGTAGTTTTGGAAAAAGTTTTATATCCGAATATGTCTTCTCACGCGCAGACCAGACTTATATCTACTCGAGCTTTGCACGTGAATATTAATTTTTTAAAAAATAGGCGAGGATGAGATTTGAACTGGTCGCCTTTTTGACCACCAAGGCTCCGATATTATATCAAGAAAGCAATTCAATCGAAAGCAAAAGTTTGTAGTTGTAGGTCTAAAAATATTTTATACTCTAAAAGATTTGAACTACTACGTATGATTTTGGTATGATAAATAAGAGCCTAAATTATTAAAATTAAATTAGTCCGATCCGCTGAACCAGTGGAACTGCCGACAAAAAACCAAACTAGCATGGTCCAACACCTCAAGAACCCGAAAAGTGCATATTGGCACAGGAAAACTCGTGAACCGGCCACTATGCCGATTATAAACCCGAATATTTGCTTAATAGTTCTACAAAAAAATTGGCCCTTAAAACATTGTTTAAAAAAATTTGCAAAGTCAAATTTCTCTCTCTTTTCATTATACATTTCCAATGATCATTACATAAGATAAAATAATTGAGCTATATTATAACTTGTAAAATTTTTTAAGTACTCCATCCATCCGCAACTAATCATTTCTTCTCGAACAATGTGTAAAATATCATCCCTTTTAAATTGATTTTATTTACAAACTGATGTCGCAATAAAATATAAAATACCTACTTCATATTTCAAAAACTAAATACAATTTTTTATAAAACAAGTGTTGTCATATCAATTTTATTTTATTAAATGATCAATGAAAACGCATACACAAACAAAAATTATCAAAAACTCGAAATAATGAAGAGAACGATTGATTCGAAACGGAGAGAGTACTCAGTAGTTTTTGAATAAGATAAAATTCTAATTTTTATTTCTGCTTTTTTTGAATAAAATGAACGAGTAATAATTTCACTAAAAAAATCTTAAATCAAACAAGGAAGATTGTATAGGAATGGAGAAAAATAGATGATCACAAGTGGTAGAGAGACTTTTGATTACTCTATATTAATAGAGAAAACAAAGGATTTGACGTGTTGGATTAAACTTTTGTTTACTTTTCCCCTCCCCTAAAAGGTTTTTTCTTACCTTTTCGAATTTGGACTTTTGTTTGGAAAATTGCTCTACGTGAACTCATTGCTAATTTAGACTTTAATTCAGAATTTTGGCTCTAGGTAAACCCATTGAAATTTTGGACTTCAATTTTTTTTTTAAAAAAAAAATTGCTCTAAGGTAAACTCATTGCGAATTTGTCAATCTTTTCTTTTTTCAACACTTTGTTACTCTTAGAGTTCTTCATTTCAATTGAAAAAAAATAACTTTCAACTTTTTAAAATTATTTCCAATTTCTTTCAACTCCCTTATGACTTAAAAATTTTATTTATATATAATGAATATACAATAAGATCACACGTCTAAATCTATAATATACTACCTCCGTCCCTGAGTATTTGTCCAGTTTTGACTTTTTTTGTCAACTGTTTTCAACCTTTGACCTATAATTAAATAAAATATATATTGTATTTTAATTACATAAAATAATATTTTGAAAATATTTAATACAATAAATATAATAAAACTCTTTATGTATCAATATCTAATATCATTTTTATTTAATTTGAGGTCAACATTTACCAATTTTGATCAAAAAAAGTCAAAAGTGAACAAATACTCAAGGAGGGACGGAAGGAGTATCACTTTAAACACAAACACTACTACGGAGTATAATTTTTTAATGTAAAATGTGTTTTTGCATTCTCTTTAAACACAAACACTACTATTTATAAATTCTTTTCAACATCCAACCCTAGAATTCTAGCTGAAAAGAACATACCGCTACTATACTTTTTAATGTAAAATGTTTTTCTGCGCAATTTCTTTATGTTTTTTTTTGCTGAGAAATGGTTATCCAATTCTTAGTTTTTAAACTCCAATTTCTACATTTCATATTCCATAACCCATACACCAATTAAAATTAAGACAACAAAAACAAGGCCAAATATTTAACACGCAAAAACGAAGCAAAATTAATTGTTCTTATCCATGGACTATTCATCCCATTACTTAAGAAGAAAAAATGTCAAAGAAATAAATAGCCAATACATTTGACATTATCAATGCACCCCCGTTTACTTTTGCACATGGTTTTATTGTGTCCTGCTTCACATTTTTACACACCATTTACATATTCACTTATTGAATAATAATACAAATTTCCAAATCCAAGCACTAGAATTTTAAACCAGAAAATAAAATTAAAAAATTAATGTGTTATTAACATCATGATGTCAGCCCTGGCGTCATTTGACTTGAAGACAATGTCAATGCATGAATAAGAAGAAAATGAGGGGGGCTTTGCAAAACATTTAATAGTTAAAATTTTGTAATTTAAACTTTGCATATATTTAGTTTTACGAACGGGGTGTTAGGGCTAGGCGTATTTGAATCCAACATTATTTATTTTAATATTAATATAATTAGAATTATATCATAATTTCGATAGATTAACATTCATCAACGCGGATATATGTCTATCCACTGAACTCTTAGTATCATACTCCATCCGTCCCATAACACTCGGAGACGAAAAAAGTTGGTTAATTGGGTAACCAACTAGCTAGCTATTAACTCCATAGGATTCATTTTGAAGCTAAATTTCCCAACATTCTCCAAATCTAATGTTGTTGCAGAGTTTGGTGTCAAGAAACAATAACAGGGATATATGCTCCCCTCTATCCATTGTCAAGAAACTATATCTAATTCGCGGTCAAAGAGTGTCACAATTTGAACAAAAAAGTTAAACTGTAGCAATCTTTTAGGGACAGATGGAGTAGAATAATAAAACAAAGCGTTATTGAACTTCAATTGCTTCTTACTTTCTAGTAATGCTACATTTTCAATCCAATATCCCAATGGAAATAGGATTGTATTTTGTTTCTTGTGGTATATACCTGATCAATCTTAGATCATAAGTTGGTCTTGTAATGCTAACTTGTACTTGTAAAAATTATAGGGATTACAACCTCTCTTCTTCCAAATGATGAAAATGATTTGATGCTCTCCAAGTCTCCAACAATCAGTTGCAAAATTCTAATTATTGCCCGAGTGTCTTTTGGAAACAATCTCTCTTCTTCCAAATAGGGATAAGGTCTGTTCATAGATATCCTCTCCCCAGACCCTACTATTGTGGGATTTTACTAGGCTTGTTGTTGTGTAGCAAGCTGACAGAAGAAGAATGTATCCTTCAATACCCTACTTGATTTTTTGCATCAAATAAAGTTGATAGGGGTATTAACTCCCATTTGTTACTCTCTGGAATACAAAAACATGTTTCCCATTAATTGACAATGCTTTAGATTTGAACACAATGAATTAAATCAAACGGAACATTAAACTCCCCTTGCTTTTAACATCGTGTGAAGTTTTCGGGAGTAAATGCAGCAATGCATTATGCATCTAGGTTGTAACAGAAACAATCTCTCTACTTTTACGTGGGTTGTATACATCTTGACCCCCTAGAACCCATCAGAATTAGGATTATACTGGGTTGTTGTTGTATCAACAGAATATCTGGTCCAATCATTGGGTAATTCACCCCTTTTTTGTTCCATAACATATCTTCCCATGTTCCACAACCAAAAGAAAAAATTTCACGATCCCTAAATTCAAAGACGTGTCTTCATAATCCTTGTAACCAGTAGAAGAATTGCCAGAGCAGTATACCTTCCAGTTGGGACCGCACATAACTCCTAAAAAAAGTTTCCCCCTCAACTACAAGAGCAAAACCAGCCTGAAACATTTGAGGGCATGTAATGAACAAGAATGACAGAACTAAAAAACAAATTGGACAATTGACTGAAAGGAAGGTCTGCAAGGACAAGACTGCCTTTCTACAGGACTTTGATTGTCCCTCGAGAAGCAAACCAATCACACGCTCAATGCAAAACTAAATACGGTCTCGTGTTCATCAAAGAATTGGGCTTCGGAGAAAAACTAAACCCAACTAAATGTTTGTGACTTTGTGTCTGCAACTCAAAGCAATGCTATATTGTTCACAACTCGACCAAGTTCTTCTATACATCTCTACACTCACGTTGCCACCTAATATTTGGTATTTTTCTACGTAATTCAGAACTTTATCATTAAAATATACGGAGCAGTTGTTATTATGATCAACCAAGTCACATTTATTTTAAAAAATTCAGCACATTTCGTAATTTCCACTTATTTTATGGGATATTATTTTACACATGAGAATTACCCCTGGTCAAGCCAAAGTAAATGTTTAAACTTGTTCTAGATTTTATAAGCATTTTTTTAAAGTGTGATACTATGAACGATTGAGTCTATCCGGCTGATCAAAATGCCCCAATGTAAAATTATCTAAGATGTATGCAGAACAATCTTTGACAGAATTTAAAACACCTCGGTGCACAAATACACAACACACGGCAAAACATATTGCAGATTTAGGAATTAGGTGTAGAAACTTATGAGACATAAGGATTATCCTAAGTTGTAAATAAGTAGATGAAGTTATAATGTTGCAAAATTATAGAGAATAAAGCAAGATATAATGTTAAAAGAGAAAAATGCACCTTTTACCCCCGAATTCTTTGGAGATTACACGGTTTACCCCTGAATATTAAAAAGTGCACAAAATACCCCTGAATTCTTTAGAAATTGCACAGTTTTTCCTTAAAAATTAAAAAGTGCACAAAATACCCCTGAACTCTTTGGAAATTGCATAATTAACCTATGCACATTTAAATAAAGACTATGATTTTGGGGAAGGATACTTTGGAGAATTCACTAGGGCCAGATGAATTATACTCACAATTCCTATGCATGGGAGCAACGCACTCCCTATCCAGCAATTTTAGGACTAACGATTCAATGTTTTAAATTATTTAGGGGTATTTGGTGCACTTTTTGATGTTCATGGATAAATCGTGCAATTTTCGAAGAATTCGAGGATAAACGGTGCACTCCACACGAGTAAACGATGTACACAGAGTTTGGGGGTAAACGGTGCGTTTTTCTCAATGTTGAAAAATATGAAGTTAAGTGAAACATTTTAAGCAAATCTGGAAATAAGAACTGTAAGAAATCGACATGGTTGAGAAAATACATCAAAGCAGAGACGACAAGCTCTCTCGGAAACATCGATCTCTCTGGAGTATTTGCCTCCTGCTCAGAAAAAGGGAGCCTTGAAGCCTTAAACGCAGCCTGTGAAAACAAAGCATAAAGACATGGCTAAATACGGAGTAAAATTAAGAGAGTGCGAAACCCTAGGATTTCAATTAAAGATCAGAACCTCGCGGTGGAGAAGCGCCGACTGTAGGGGGGAAACGGAGAAGATCCATTGCCGGAATCAAACGGAAAACTAAGGGTGTAGTGTGTTTTTTAAAGTATGATTTTCTATGGGTACCCCGGAATACACTGTCTAAATGGTCACTTGCACCCAAAATTATGCGGCACCAACATTTTAGTGGTTGATAAGTCAACAAAAATTTTCACGTTCACAGAGTTTTGATGCGTTAACAAAAATTAGTTTTACACCATACAAAATGTCAATACAAGCCTATAGTGTACCAAATGAGATACAAAAGTTTGGAGTACAAATAGCTTTCTCCTGTCTAAATTGGCATGCCACTTTGACGTGTGAAAGATGTGAGTGATTATTATATGGAAAAATTACCAAAAATAATCTCAACTTTACCTGGTCTTTCAAAAATAATTCCACCTTTCACTGTGATGCATAATAATCCCAACTTTACTGAAATTTGCCAGTTTTGGGTCACCGTTAAGTTTCTAACGGAGGGTTAACGGAAATGCCCGTTTTAGACAACAAAATGAAAGTTGGGATTATTTTTGATGAATTTTCATTTTTTTAATTTTTTTAAAATTTTTCATTTAAATTTTTTAAATTACGGAGTACTTTCTACCTCCATCATCATTTCTTTTTCCTTTTTTAAAGATTAGTCTTAGTTTAAAAAATAAAAATAATAGATATAAAAAATGAAAAAATGAGAAATGTAATTAAAATGATACAAAAATAATAAAATAAATAAGGTAATCAATGGAAACTAACTTGAAATTGGTAAGAGTAAAATAAAAATATACGGGTGAGTTTTAATATTTTACGCATTATACAAAGTATTAACATATCACTTCTTATATTTGAGAAAACATTATCTACAATAATTCCAACTTTACCGGACAGCTTGTTCTTTTAAAAATAAGTAGTACATTAAGACTCCGTATAGTGTGTAAAATGTTAAAACCCACCACTCCGTATATATTTGTTTTATTTCTTACCAGTTTCTGTTTAATTTCTATTGATTACATTATTTATTTGATTAATTTTATATGGTTTTAGTTATTTTTTTCATTTTCATTATTTTTTATATCTATTTTTTTCTAAGGTAAGAATAATCTTTAAAAAAAGAAAAAGAAATGGAGGTTGAAAGTAATTTAAAAAATTTAAATAAAAATTTCAAAAAAAAAATAAAAAACAAAAATTCATCAAAAATAATCCCAACTTTTAAAACGGGCATTTCCGTTAACCCTCCGTTAGAAACTTAATGACGATCCAAAACTGGCAAATTTCAATAAAATTGGGATTATTATGCATCACAGTGAAAGGTGAGATTATTTTTGAAAGACCGGGTAAAGTTGAGATTATTTTAGGTAATTTTTTCTTATTACAGAGTATATCTCCATGATTTCACTCCCCCATGCATTTTCATATGATCTCAACTTTCCCTCGTATAAAAAAAGAGAGAAACTTTGAAAGCCACATATTCCAATAGGAAATTCAGCTTTTTGAGAAACTCGAAGAGGACATTGTGATTTTTTTAAACGGATAATTACTTATTCGTCTCGTAAAAAATTCTATGAAAAATATTTCTTTTTTTTCAATGGAAAACAAGAAAAAAATGAAATTTATTGCCAAACTCATATAGGCATTGTTTGGGAATAACATTTTTCATTAGCGTTAACGTTTTAGATAAAATTTTAATGATATAGATTAATTCTTAAAACACTAACGTTAAAGATTACCAACATCTAACGCTGATGTCAAACGGGGTCATAACGATGTTGCTTGCCAAACTCGTGACCACAAGATAACGGCCCCGTTGGTATCAGCATTAGAGATTAATCTTAACATTTTGAAAAGATTATCCAACTAGGTGGTCTCAACAAATACACATAAAAAGCAGGAGGATTCGTGTAAATTAAAAATTCTCCTGGAGTCCTATTGTAAAATTATTGAATTTCTGGAAAAAAAAACCGGCGATAATTATGTAATCTTAAGGCATGTTTGAAACAACATTAGAAATTAGCATGCGCATTTTGAAAAAGCTATCTAGCTACACGTAGCGTTTAGCATTAGTGTTTTTCAAAATAATCTGCACCGTTAAAATTTTATCTAAAACGCTAACGCTATATATTCTCAAACACGCCCTTGGTATGTTGTAAAATATCAAATTTTTGGGAACATTGAGATGCATTATCCTTTTCCAAATGTTACATTTAATTTAATTTGTAAGAAACAGAAATAAGTACCAAAAGCACATTCTAAGTCCATATTAGCCGTTATTAAACTCTCTTATGAGCAACTTCTCCTCCTATACTCTTCATTTCCAGACCAGGACAATCAACATCTGTCATGAACCTAGTCCAGAACCAATGCTCCTTCCAAACCACGACCATCTCCTCGATGGGGACGTTCTTCGTCTCGGGCAAGAAGAGGTAGACGAGCAACGTCATGACCGACACGAAGAACGCAAAGAACAAGAACAGCCCGAACTTCATGTGGCACAGCAACGTCAGGAACACCTGTCCTATGATGAAGGTGAAGATCATGTTGACCGCGACCGTCACGCTCTGCGCTGCGGACCGGATCTCCATCGGGAAGATCTCGCTCGGGACTAACCAACCCAACGGGCCCCACGACCACGCGAAAGCGGAGACGTAAATGCAGATGAACGACACTACCACCACCGCGTACCACTTTGGCAATTCGCCCGCGTATCCGTTGACTCCGAATTTCACCCCTATAAAGACCGCAATCACAACCTGTAAAAATAAAGAAAAATGAGAAGATTTTTATGGGACAGACGATGCATTAAATGAATTCAACATTTATTTACCTGACAAATGAACATCTGAAAGCCACCCTCAAGGAACAAAAACCGTCGGCCAAGTTTATCGACGTAGTAAATGGAGACGAGAGTGGCAAGAACGTTGACACCGCCAGTGACAACAGAAGACATTAGCGAAGCGTCGTCGCCGAAACCAATAGTGCTGAACAGAACGGGCGCGTAGAACATGATCACATTAATCCCAGTGAACTGTTGGAAGAAGGGTATGGCCACAGCCGTCGCGAGCTGGGGCCTATACCTCCTCTCCAACAGGTTCCTCCAGGGATCCTCCACCCTGCTCGCCGCCTCGCTGGCGGCGACCAGGTCGCCGAACTCCTCGTCGACGTCGTCGAGCCCTCTGATCCTTTTCAACATGGCTTTGGCGGAGTCACGGTTGCCCCGCTCGATCAGCGAGTTGGGAGTCTCGGGGAGGAAGAGGGACCCCACGATGATGAGCGAGGCGGGGACCATGGCTCCGCCCAAGCTCAGGCGCCAGCCCCACCGGATCTTGGCGAAGAAGAAGTTAAGGATGTTGGCCACTAGGATTCCGATGGTTATGGAGAGCTGGAAAACTATGTTGAGTGCTCCTCTGTACTTGTATGGCGCCATTTCCGACAAGTACAATGGAACAGCCTGCGCCCCACAACAATTTCAAACCAATAATTAACACATCTGGGTGATGATTAATTGACAAAGACGACATTTTTTTGCAGAGACTACTCAAAATATTGGGTTTTGGACCAATTTTTTTAAAATGGAATCTGAAAATGAACAAACTCTGAAATGACTAGCTAAAAATTTGACTAGACATAAACATGATTTGACCATAAATTATGTACTCTCTCCGTCCCATAATTATTTTCAAAATTTAGATTTTTTGGTCAAATTTTGACTCTTTAATAATAAATTATGAAAAAATGGGTCTGGTTCAGTTGACATGGGCCCTGATTGATACCACGGTGCCCGATTCATAAAATTGACTTTTTCTATCTCCGACTCCCAGGTAGGGCTGTTCAAGTTTCGGTCTAGGTCCAGACCGAACCCGGACCGAATGGATTTCGAGTCGGTCTTCGGTCCACAATTTTTGAATGTTCGAGTTTCGGTCCGGTCCGGTCTAGACCCGAAATGAGTTCGGTCCAGACCTAAAAGACCGAAACAGTAGTACTTAGCCAAAGTGCTTGAAATCATCCGTAATTTAATACGGAGTATTTTTTTTTCCGCAACCCCCTTTCTCAACTCAGTATGCGTAGATCCAATCACCCCTAATTAAATTTCTTCATCATCTTCCCTCATCCAAAATCAAACATCGAGCATCTCCTTTGTTCAATCAACATGCTGCTTGTGGTCCAAGGATGCCGGACGGCAGTGAAGCAGAAACAACTCAAGTCTGACACCTTCTTCTTAATATATGTCGACATATTATGTTCAAAAACTGCAGATCTGAATTGCATTAAGAGGTGATTTTTTTAAATTTTCAATTTTAGTTTTCAAATGGTTAGTTAGTGCTACTGCTCAGTACATTCTCTATTGCAAATTTCTAATGATGGTAGCATTCAGATCACTAAACCCTACTCTTGGTTATTTTTTTAAAGAACTTGCTTTTGAACAATTTTTATTAATTGTTATTTGCAGAATTTGAGTGGCGGTTTTGGCTATTTTGTTTCCCAGTTTTTTAATTTTGCATTTTCAATTCGGTCTTTTCGGCCCTAATCGGTTCGGTCCAGGTAATTTCGGTTCGGTTCGGTCTAAACCCGACAACTAATAGGTCCGGTCTTCGGTCGGTCTTCGGTCCGATCCGGTTCGGTCCCGTCCGGTCCGGTTCTGGACCGATGAACAGCCCTACCCCCAGGATAAATTCCTCACCACAGTCCGTCCCGACCCCCCTTTCCCCTTCAATTTTATCATCCAAATTTAGTTAATTTTGGGGTAAAAGATTTTGACCTCAAAAGTCTACTAAATTTAAAGATGAAATTGAAAGGGTTGAGTGTTTGGACCAGGCTTTGGTGGGGTTTTTTTTAAAAGAAGTGGTGGGGTTATTGAGGTTTAGAAACCATTTTAAAAGGGAGTACAATAGGTATTCGCCGGTCTTATCGCATGATATGGAGCACTCAAAGTGAGTCCAAACGATCTTTTTTCAAAAGGATATTCTCCATATAATTATATCTTGCTACGGAGTATAATGTAAATCTAATATACTACATAAATTTTAATATAAATAAGTTCATTTAAAAATGAAATTCTTTCGTCCCGATATGTTCCTTTATGTAATATACGAGGTTTGACCGACTTTGTTTCTTATTCAATATATTTGATTAAATGTGTAAAAGATTCTGAACCTCAGTTCACTAAAATACTTCTTCTTTTATTTTTTTCTCTTCCACCAAAACAATTCTATTTTTTCATTAAAAAACCACTTTAGTGAGTTTACTCATATATACTTTTTCTTACACTACCTATAAGATTATACTTTTTCACTAATTATCTATCCATCATATCATACTTCTACACATCACAGCAAAATCAAAATTGGAAAGCCAACTAGAATTTAGCCATTCCTTTGGTCAAAGTAGGAAGTATTTTCTCAAACGGGGAATATAAAATAAGAGATGACTTGACTATGTTATAGTATGAAATAAGTAATAAAAATAATCAAATAAAAGTTATTTTGACTTAAATTAGATGAACTTTGATCATCAACTACGTAAAGTTTACATTGAATATTAATACAATGAAATAAAGGTTTTTTGTAAAATAAATCTAGTAAAATAATATTTTTGTTACCCTATTTAATACAATTTTTATTTAATTAATGATCAAAATTTATCTTTATGGTTAACTAAAAAATAAAGGAAAAAAATGAACTCCTTTAATTTTATAAAATAATTCCACTTTCATTTTCCAGTATTTTGTAAAAAAAACTTCTACTTTCTATTTAAAATTATACTCCGTACTTTACTCCTAATAACTTTTATCCAACATATAATGTCATATCTATTCAGAACTCGTATTAATCTAATCACATTCTACTATTACTTATCTGACGGTAAAACAAAATTTAAAAGAGGAATTTAAAAGTTAATTAGGAGTAATTGGTTTTGAAAAATGCAGAGATTTGTAGGAGGAGGCGAATTAAACCTGATTGGCGAAGCCGACGCCGAAGCCGAGGAAGAGGCGGCCGAGGATGAGCATGGCGACGTTCTGAGCGAAGGCGTTGACGAGGGCGCCGCCGCAGAAGAGGGCTCCTCCCAGCAGCATGGACAGCCGCCTCCCCAGCTTCCGCGTCACGTGCGACGCCGCCACCGACGAGCACAGCGCCGCCAGGTACAGGGAGGAGGTGAACAGCGTCAGCGGGATGCTGTCGAATTTGCAGTACTGATTGGAACCGGAACTCGCCGCCGCCGCTGACCTCTTCTTTTGGTATACCCCGGGGAAGAACTTCTCCAAGAATGTGTCCATTGACGTCACTCCTCCTGTTTTGGTATACCCAAGTTTTGTACCCCGCAGTTTTGCACCAACACAAACCAACACTTTGTGTTGCTGTAAAACTAATTTTTGTTAAATGCACCAACATTTGTGTCCGTGTGAATTTTTATTAACGCACCAACACTTGTGTCGGTGTAAAACATCGAAATATTTGTGCAAACTTGTGGTGTACAAATGAGGTATATTTTGTGGTGTAAGTGTAGCATGGTCCTTTATTTTATTTTATTTCATCACACAAAAAGAATAACAAAAAAAATGTATATTTGGAAACTAGTATTTCAATTCAATTTCTGTATTGCAATCCCAAAATTTGAAATCTTGAATTTCAAATGACAAGAAAAGTTGCATGAATTTCAAATTAAACTTTGTTATGAATTTGGAATAATTTGATTCAATTCCAAATTCAAAATTTTTAAGTTCTCCAAACATGAAATTTGAGCAAAATTTGGATTTGAAATTCAAATCCAATTACCAAACATACCATTATTTTGATGGTAGAAGACTAACTAAAGACCTTGTACTTTAACAATACTATTATGATGCTCTCAAATCAAATACTTCACTAAGTTGCCAATGTATGAATATATATTATCTTTTAATAACGTCATTAGTGTTTAAAAAAATTGTACACTTCCGTCCAAAAAACTTTTTTTAGATTTGACCTTTTTGGTCAAATATTATTAGAACTCTTTTATATAGAGTATTGTACTCCGAAACATTTATTTATTCAAATCATACATGTTTAATTCGTAGTAAAAATATACTACTATTTGATCTAGAAAAATCAAAACATGAAAAGTTTTTTGACAGAAAGATAGTAGAAGACTAGTAAATCACTTTAAAAGAGAATATCTTACTCCTTAAAGCACTGGTAATACCCCTCACGCCCACCGGCGGGGGGCGTGAAACACCGCCCCCCGCCGGCGTGAGGGCGCCTGCGTCAAACGAATGACGCGGCGTGAGGGCCGTTTATTCTCCCCAACGGCTATAATGCCGTTACCCCCCCCCCCCCCCAAATTAAAAAAAATTAAATTTTAAAAAAAACCTATAAAATCCCCCCTTCTCATACATCTTCCTCACACCTCTCTCTAACAAATCTCTCTTTATTACTATATATTCTCTCAAAAAAATTTATTATTTATTATAAATATTTATAAAATATAATTTAAAAATGGGTTCATCTTCCGACGATGAAAGAAGAGCTTTATTTTTTCGTTGTTTCGCGACGAATTATATTCAATTGTGGGAAGATGGCCAAGAAGAAGCCGAATCCTCCCGACGACGGATCCGACGCCAACGTCTTAACCGGGATCGAGCGGCCGCCCACGATTCACTTCTAAACGACTACTTTAATAATCCGTGTGTTTATACACCGGAGGATTTTAGTAATCGTTTTCGGATGAGTCGTCCTCTGTTCTTACGCATACTCGCCGATGTTGAACGCGANTTGCAGGCGAGGCATGCCGCAAAACACGGCTTTGTCGGCATGCTTGGGAGTATTGATTGCACGCATTGGGAATGGAAAAATTGTCCCACTGCGTGGCATGGTCAATTCTCCCGGGGAGATCATCCGAAGCCTACCATCATGCTCGAAGCTGTTGCTTCGAATGACTTGTGGATTTGGCATGCTTTTTTCGGTGTCGCGGGCTCGAACAACGACATCAACGTTCTCGATCAATCGCCTGTTTTTGACGATTGGGTTAATGAGACCGCACCGGACTCCTCTTTTGAGCTTAGAGGGACGCTTTACAAGCGTGGATATTATTTGGCTGATGGAATATATCCGGATTATTCCACAATTGTCAAATCTCTGTCCGAACCAATGAGTCTTAAATGCCAAACCTACAAAAAAGCTCAAGAAGCGGCGAGAAAAGATATTGAACGAGCCTTTGGGGTCTTGAAGGCTAAGTGGCACATTCTAGATCGTCTGTCGAAATGTTATTCTCAGACAAAAATGAGGAATATCATGTACGCATGTATTATTCTTCATAATATGATCATAGAGGATAACGGGTCTGCGATTTGTCAATACAACCCGGACGAGGAGGTGCCTATGTACGAAGAAATCACCGAAGAAAAGAAACGATGCAACTGCCAAGAAATTCGAAGCCGAGAGATTCACAATGCACTAACGGCGGATTTGATCGAGCATATCTTTAGTCGTTCGAATAATTAGTAATTTCTTTGTACTATTGTTTTATTATGTAATTTTTTTTAATGAATGTAATTTTTTTAATGTTTTTTTAATGAATGTAAGATTTTTTTTATAATGAATTAATTTTTTTATGCACTAGTGTCATTGCGATTAATTAAACTAATAAATTAATTTAAATTTATAAATTTAAATTTAGAAGATGTATATTTAAAAGTGTAAAAAATGAAGGTTTGGAGCCCCAGTTTGAAGCCCCGGGGCTTCAAAACCATTTCCAGTGAATTTTGGGTATAAGTTAAAGCTGACGTGGCAGAGAGAGAAAGTTTGAAGCCCCGGGGCTTCATGACCATTACCAGTGCTCTTAGCAATTAAAATGAACTTCCAATAGGTTTTATGTTTTTGTTAAAAAACTTCCAATGGAACTTTATAGAAAAATGGATTAAATGTGTAATTTCATTAATCATTGAAGAAGATTATTTATAAACTTTACTCTAAAAAAATCACTTGTTCTATGTCACTATGCTGGAAATAATTGTGCGTCTCGCTATTTAAATTTATTTTTGTTTTGTAACACACTCTGTAATACATTTTTAAAAAAAAATTAAAAAACACATGTTTCGTTAGCAACCATCAGAATCCAAAAAAAAACAAGAATAGACTACAATTCGTTTTAGCAACCATCATAATTAATGCAAGGAAGAAGAGAAAATTATGAGATATAACCCAATAGAATATATAATAGACTACAATTCAAAATGCATTAATTATACAAGTATAGAAAATCATTTGTCACATTATTTTTGTTTCCGAGTGCACCACTCGGTATACAAATCCCTTTTTTAAACACAATTTCTGTTAGGCTCGGTTTGATAAAAAGAATTGAAATTATGGAATTGGAATTTAGGATAATAATTCTAATTTTGCTGTTTGGTAGCACAAAAATATGTGGGTTTGGAATCGCTAGTGCCAAAAATGTATTGAAATTGGAAAATTTATTTTCATCCAAATCAATTCCATAGAATTTTAACTCCGAATTTAATTTCAATTTCATCAAATCCGTGTACCATACGGACCCTACATAAATCAACCATCTATATATTCAGTCCAAAAAAATAAAAAACGAATGAAATACAAAAGGAGAAGATTAATTAGTAGATATAATTAAAAAAACCTGAAATTCCAATATCATAACCAAAAATGAGACCTCCCATGGCAGCAACAATGCAAGTGAAAGTGACATATCCAGTTAGCTTTCCTGGGTATTCTTTCCCATTATTTCCACTCCCTACCCCAACCCCACCTGCCATGTTTATATATATTCTTATATATTTTATATATATTTATAATTTATTTATTTATTTATATGATGATGATGCTGACAAATTAAGAAGTATAAATATATAAACAATAGATTATTAGCTGATAATGGAGAGGGGATTATATATATAGATCAGATAAAACGAGTGAAATGTGTATATATGGAAATACCACAAACTGACTATATTTAAAATTGACCAAGCATTTAATTCTCTCCAACATTTTTGCAATTTATTAGTCATAGTGACTTGGATCTCATTTTTCAAATTTTATCTTGCCAACATACTTTATATATGTCTTCACAATTTTTTTTTGAGATGATTTAAATTTAGAGTAAATCTATATATAACTAGCCTTTTAAAATAGTGTTTTTTATATATCGTTTTTTATACAAAAAAATTACGCTCGTTTATATGTATCTTTTCACAGATAGTCCTTTGTTTGACTTATCATCTTCTCTATGTAAAATTGGGTGCTAAAAGTGTAATTTGACATTAACTATATAGGTCTGGCCATGTATTCTAGATTTCCTAGTGTTGGCTTAACGGTCTACACAACAATAATGACTATGGCTCCAGATTTGGATTCCGGTCCGCAACGACAACTATAGACTATGGATGCGGTGGGCGACCTACAAAAATGACTATGGCAAGGCCATAGAGTGGACATAAATTACCCTTTAAGCCACAATGTAAGACCAAAATGATGGAAGGTAAAACAAAAGAGTACCAATGCAAATTAAAGGTTTTCATAAAAACGTCTAATTTTTCAAAGACCAATTATACAATTCACTCTAAAATTTATTCTTTAGTTTTTTGGTGATTTTAATGGGAGGCTTGGTCAATTTTATTCACAAATTAAATCATTCGATTTAGGGTTTATTCTGTTCAAATTATTACTTATTTTGATAAAATCAGATTTGATCTAATTAAATCATATACGGAGTAATAAACAACTTAAAATATAATTAAAATCAAATCAATTTAAATTAGAACAAACCAAATATTCAAAAAATTAGAATATATCATGTGAACGCAACCTAAGCTGCGTGCGGCTATAGTACATGGTTGATGGCTGGGTGAATGTAACGTTACAACTTTATTATCTCTATTTATTCATTTATTCTTTTGGATAATTCCACTTTTGAGAAATGCTAGATTCACAAACAAAACTTTCACAAATTTTATAAATTTACTATTTGTGAACTTTAATTGATTTGCATTTCCTCGGTCTAAAGTTGATTCACCGTAGAGACAGAAATTTTATTCACAAATACAAAATATACAAACTTATGCTCTGTATATTAATTTTTTTTACTTTTTATCAATGAAACTTTTTTTAGTTTTTAATCACTATCAATGTTACAAATACATGTCATCGCATGACACCGAACTAAAATAATACTCCCTTCGTCCCGTTTTAAATCGTCCATTTTGATTTTTGAGCATATTTAAAGAAAATAAAAAATAAAGTTGATTTTTCGAAATTGACAGTACTTTTTAGGAGGGATGATGATGAATGAAAAGATAATGTGGAGAAGAGTGACTTATTTTAAAGGTAGTTTAGTTATTTTACACTTAAAAGTTTACGAAAACAACTAACAGGCAATTTGTTTTGGGACGGAGAAAAAAGGCAAACAGACAATTTAAAATGGGACGGAGGGAGTACGACAATTGTGAGACAGTTCCATTGATCGACACTTGACAACTTGAGTGTTGAGTTTATAGACCGTTCACACTTATTCTCAACTCAGTTTATTGTCCCAAAATACTATCTTAAAATTAAGTACTCATGTACTATATATGAAATTTTTTTATTGAATATTATAAATTAAGTTGTGGAAGATGGAGCTATTGAATGTGTGTAAAAAATACGAGTCCAGGTTTTGGGATTATTTATATTTGTGCGACAGAATGTCAGATAGTTCATGTTAATACTTACTACGTATTTTAAATGTATATACTCCTTATTACATTTATGCAGTTTATGCAAAACATTACACAAACAAGTCAGAATGGATCAGTGCTCTGGGGCGGCAGGTGCCAGACTCTAGTTCTGGTCCTCGTGAGAGGGCGTGGGTTCGAATCCCACTTCTTTTAACAATTTTTTATTTGTTAAAAATAATTAATTTTTTTTGAGATGATTTAAATTTAGAGTGAATTATATAATTAGTCTTTTAAAATAGAGTGTTTTTTATATATAGTTTTTAATATAAAAAATTATGCTCGTTTAAATATGTATTTTTTCACGGATAATCCTTTGTTTGACTTATCATCTTGTTCGTGTAAAATTGGGCGCTAAAAGTATAATTTCACATATACTGTATAGGTCTGGCCATGTATTCTAGATTTTCTAGTGTTGGCTTGACGGTCTACACAACAACAATGACTATGACTGCGAATTTGGATTCCAACTAGTAACGACAACTGTAGACTACGGATGAGGTGGGCGACCTCTGAAAATGACTATGGAAAGGACATAGAGTGGACATAAAATTATACTTTAAGCCATAAAATTATACTTTAAGCCACGGATAGTACTTTGTTTGACTTATCATCTTGTTCATGAAAAATTGGGCGCTAAAAGTGTAAGTTCACATTACTATATAGGTCTAGCCATGGCCATGTATTCTAGATTTCCTAGTGTTGGCTTGATGGTCTACACAACAACAATGACTATGGCTGTAGATTTGGATTCTCACCTGTAACGACAATTGTAGATTAAGGATGAGGTGGGTAACCTCTAAAAATGACTATGGAAAGGACATAGAGTGGACATAAAATTACACTTTAACCACAATATGAGACCAAAATGACGTAAGGTAAAAGAAAAGAGTACCAGTGGAAAGGTTTTCATAAACGAAGAATCACGAATGTCGGTATAAAATGTGATACTCCCTCCGTTCCATTTTATAATGTCCGTTTCGGTTTACGATATTTGACTGAAGTTATTTTTAAATCATTTTATATGACAAATGCTATAGAGTTAAGAAATAAAAATTACATATCAAAATACTACATTAAAAGATCTACAAAACTAGTAGTGACAACAATATTTTATTTTATCAAATTGCTAACGAAAATAGAGAAAGAAAGTGAATGAAGTTTGACCCTGTGAATAGTGAACATGCATTATAATTTGGGACGGAGGGAGTATTTGGTATTAAAAGACTAAATATAAAAACTTCTAATTTTTCAAAGATCAATTATATAATTTACTCTAAAATTTTTGGTGATTTTAGTTTTAGGCATGGTCGATTGTATTCAAAAATTAAATCATTTGATTAAGGGTTTGTTATGTTCAACTTATTTTTTTCAACTTATTGTTTATTTTATTAAAATCAGATCAGATCTAATTAAATCATATCATAAACTTGAAATATAACTACAATCAAATCAATTTAAATTAGAACAAACCAGATTTTCAAAAAATTACTCCCTCCGTCGGAAAATATTATTCCCATTTTCCTTTTTGGTCCGTCCGGAAATATTCTTCCCATTTCCTTTTTTAGTATACTTTTTAAGGCTAAATATCAATAATACCCTTCCATTTTATCACAAATTTACTTTTTTAATACTTTTTTAATAATAAAATGAGATTTAAAAGTTTATAGTATGTGCATTTTTTAAAATTTTACATTTTTTTAACTATTTCTTAATAAGCGTGCCAAGTTAACACGGGAAGAACATTTCCGGACGGAGGGAATAGAAAAGATAAGTAGAATGGAACGCAACCTGGGTGCAGCCGTGCGGCTATAGTAGATGGGTGGGTGAATGTACCGTTACAACTTTAGTATCTCTATTTATTCTTTTGGATAATTTCACTTTAATTAATTTGTATTCGTGCTGTCTAAAGTTAATTCATGGTAGAGATTGAAATGCTAGTCACAAATACAAAATACACAAGAAAAATTTGAATTTCATGCGATTAAAACATAAGTCATTTTCCAATGTAGCACTTAAACTTTTTTATTTTCTAAATACAACTTAATAATGTCTACTGGGAGGAATAATGTTCAGAGATAATGAGCATTTATTTGAATAATGACTAATGGATAAAGATCAATGATCCTATATTGAAAAATAAAAATTTATAATTGTATATTAAAAAAATCATTATGTTTTGGTTTCATTTAGGTAAATTCCTTCTATCAATGTTACAAATAGATGTCATCGCGTGACAGTGAACTATAATAACATTATAATTGTGGAACAGTTCCATTGATAAATTGTAAAAGTATTACTACTTCCGTCCCACTATATTCGTCCACTTTTTATTGGTGATTTTAGTGTCATCAATTTATTTTGTGTAATTGGATTTACTTTGATCGGACAAGAATTTAAATAGGCGTTGTCAAACGAGTTAGGAGGCGCGGAGTGCGCGCTCGTTCAACGATATTATAAATTCACTGCGGGGTCCGAGGGCGGCAGCCCCCGGGTGGCGGGGTCCAAGGGGCAGAGCCCCTGGCGGGGTCCAAGGGGCAAATCCTTAAGATTTTCGTGACCGGAGTCCTAAACGGTAAAGGACTCGTACATAATGGATAAACGTCGAAATTAAGCCTTCAACCGCAGGAGACCTTTCGTTCAAACTCGCACCTTTCTTCTTCTTGTGCGAACATACGCGTACATCTACGCGAATGTTCATGTCCGATCACAAGGATTTTCGACTCTATAAAATAGAGTCTCGTGGTATGGGTTGACATATAGATTCTCGAGTGCTTGTTCTGAATTAACGTCTTATCCGATTGAAGTATTTCGTATACCCCGAAATAACTTTGATCTGAAAGCGTTTCGTACGTGATTCGTTATTCTATCGAGTTCTTCGTTTAACACTGCTTCGCAGTGTTCTTCATTTTATAAATCCAACACTTTTGACTTTTGGAATTGTTTATCTAAGCACTTTGACTGATCAAATTTTCTCAATTTGTAAGGCTAAATATAGTCATGTGTGATCTTGTTTGATTTGTCTTAACATATACTCTCTCCGTCTCACTGTCTTTGTCCACTTTTGACTTTTGGAACTATTCATCTAAGCACTTTGACTCATCAAATTCTCTCAATGTGTAAGCCTAAATATAGTCATGTATGATCTTGTTTAATTTTTCTTAACATATATATTATTAATATATAATTTCTATAATTTTTTAATATATACAAATTACAAGATAAAATGGATTAAAGAAGTACATTGGATGGTGTGCCAAAAGGTAAGTGGACAAAGACAGTGGGACGGAGGAAGTAGATTATTAACATATAATTTCTATAATTTTTTAATATATAAATTACAAGATAAAATCGATTAAAGAAGTGCATTGGATGATGTGCAAAAATGAAAGTGGACAAATATAGTGGGACGGAGGGAGTATACTCTAAAAGTTCTATTGATCAACACTTCACAACTTGGGTGTTGAGTCATACCATCTACACCTATTCTTACTTTCTCAGCTCAGTTGACTGTACCAACATATTATCTTAAAATTAAATACTATATATGAACAAAATTATTGAAATATTCTAAATTAATATGTGGAAGATGGAGATATTGAATGTGTTAAAAATACGAGACCATGAATTGGGATTATTTATATTTGTGCGACAGAATGTTAGATAATTCATGCTAATGTTGTTAAATGTATATATAACATTTACGCAGAACATTTGACAATCAAGTCAGGATGGCCGAGTGGTCTAAGGCGCCAGACTCAAGTTCTGGTCTTCGTGAGAGGGCGTGGGTTCAAATCCCACTTCTGACATTTTAAGAGAACCATTTTCACCTCTCTTTTTTTTTTCCTTAAAAAAAAAGTCCAACATATTTTGTCACAAGATATGCTTGTTCACGAGTAATAAAATATTAGTCTAGAAAGATTAGCTTTTTGAATGATGAATTAATATTTTATTTCTATATCAATCTTTAAAAAAATGAATTGATAATTATTTTGCATAAAATGCTACCGGATTAGTAATTTTAAGATAAAGAAAGCACACATGTTAAATATTTTAGGCGAAGGGAGTACACATTTTATAAGATATGCTTGTTCA